GCTCCTGGAGATGTTCCCATGCATGACTTCCTCCCAGCTGCAGCTTTTGCAGGGTTACTCAGGGAGGATGCTGGACTCCAGCTAGCTGGGATGTACAGCCACAGAGCAGGAACAGAGGAGCTCTGCCCTGTCAAATCTTGCCCTTTCTTCTCCTTCACAGAGCCATCCTGGTACAGGTGGCAAAGAGGTCCCACCCACACCTTGGAAAGTTTTCTGGAGAGGTTATCTGTCCATATAGAATGACAAGGATGTGGCCTGGAGAGGTCTTTGCTGAGATGTCCATCCACACAGTGTGTCCCTGGGATGGATTAGCAGTAGCCCCCACTGGGCATGTTTTAGCAATAAATAATTCAAACTAGTGAAACTCCTTCATGACTTTGCTGCAAAAGCAGAAGGAACGTTAATGCCCATGCAAAGAGGAAGAATCCCAGGCCTGCCCTGGCTGGCAACAAGGTGGCCATGGCCTGTACCCCAAATCCATGGACCAGCAGCATGGTAAATGCACCCAGTCCCAGGCTACTTGAGCTGGCTCCCAGTGCTGCCCAGGGCAAACTGGGTGCCTGTCATGCTGAGGGGACCTGCTGTCAAACACAGTGGGATGTTTGTGGGGGTGAGAAGGGGAAGGGGGCTCAGCCCTCAGGTTTGGGTTGATGGTGCTGGTCACAGGTATTACTTATTTAATGGCCTGGCTAATTACAGTGTGATTGGGAAGTCATCTGGAACTCCCTAAGACAGCACTGCATCTTCTGACCCTGGCTGGAGGTAGAGCCTGAAGGGGAAGAGACAAAAACTCATAAACATCAACTTTTTTTCCCTCCTTTGATTTCCTCCTCTTTTTCCCCCTTCATATGATGCTATCAGCTGGGGCCTGCAGAGCTTCAACTTAAAAACAAACCGCTTTTATTTAAAGTGCCAATATTGTGTTTGGCTCCATATGAGACAGAAACATTAACTTTGTCTCTGACCTGGGGAGCGTGTCTGCCTGCCTAGCAGGCACTGAAAGTGTTGAGAAAACTGTTATTTTACTTCTATTTTGGTGCTGATTTTTAAAAATCTAATTTTTTATTAATTTCATTTTATTTTAATGGAGCATTCCCTCTTCAGCAGAGCACACAGAGCACGCAGCCATCCTTTGTGTCCCCATGGAGCTTTGTCCCTGGTGTCAGCCTTGGCACCCAGGAGCTGGCAGGGCTGGGGGCAGGGGAGGGCAGCTGTCCCTGTATTCCCATGCCTGGGCAGTGGGACTGGAGCTGCTGTATCCTGGCTGCTGCTGCTGCCTGGTGGGTTTTCTGGTTGCTGTTTCTAGGCGGGGTTTGCAAAAGGTCACAAAAAATTAATCTTCTAACTGGGGACCTTGGCACTGCGTGCAGTGAATGTTTTGCATTAAGAACTAACTCATTAATTCAGTGAAACATTTAAAACCAAACCAGTTATATCCAGCCAAGCTGGAAAAAGCTGAAAGTTCATACTCAGCAGTGCAGATTTCGAAACCTCCCTTTGTTAATCTCTGCAGAAGTAAATTTTCTGCTATTGCAGAGCTCACTGTGACTGGTCTGGGCATTGTTTCCCTCAGTGGAGGCAAAGCTGCTCTGCAGAGGGTTGGTTTTGTACCTGGAACTGCCACCTTTACCTCCAGCCTTAGTTTCTGTGAGCATCACTGGGAAAACATTGGTTTTACTCTGCTTTAAGTCAGTTTTCCCTCAAATTTCCAGCAGCAGAGATGATTTAGGTGCACTGGACATTTGACCTGCTTACTCTGCTACCTTACTATGAAATTAGCAGGTATAAATTAAATAGGAACCATGAATTTAAGTACAATAACTTTGTCTTCCTGGCTCCAGGTAGCTCTTCCATTCAGCTTTGTCTCTTTGTTCCAGTTAATCATAAAATAATACATAGGAAATACATCATGGCTGTGCAGAAGGGTCTGAAGCATCTGCAGTGGTGATATATACACCGAGATCAGTTGTAAGGATCTTTTTCAATTGATTATTTTTTCTGCCATTAATTTACCCTATCCGTTAGAACAGCCTCACTTAAATGAGGGACAAATCAGTGAATTATCCATTCTCTTATATATTAGTGGTGTATTAAAGTATTAGGTGCATTCCAGAAGGTGAGCAGTGAATAAAACACTCTCCCAACATGTGGTTATGCAACTGTTCCATGGAAATGAAATGGACAAACAGTACACTTGATTAATTTTTTTCTCCCCAGTAAATTGCCACTGTGATTCACTTCCAGCTAAAATTTGCAATCTGTGTTCTCAGGTGGCATTAATATTGGAGCCCTGCAGGAGAGCTGTGGTGGCTGGGGCTGCTTTGATTGCATTTTTAAGGAAAGTTGTTGGAGAGAGCACAGAGTTTGATACAAACGTGCTGGTAAATGAAATGCAGAGCTTTTAGGTTCTCTGTAGGTGGGTCAGGCCATTCACATTTACCCAAAATAAAAGCGATGGAGTGCTCGGGAGAGGCACTTTGTTAATGTGGCACAATGGGGGTCTTTGTGTGTCGCTGTTGCTTTGTATCAAATTTACTCTGTTGACAGATAAAAATCATTCTTTTGATATTTGGAGACTCCATAAACACTGGGTCAGATCTGTCAGGGGCTGGAGCTGTCTCAGTAATGGAGACTGGAGTTTGCTGGAAAGAAAAAAGCTTGCAGAGGGCCCAGCAGCTTCTCCCTGTGTTAAAGCTGCAGGATAAAATGAAATAAGTATTCTTTTTTACCATTGCTTCCCTGACATGAAACTGCTCTCAGCCTTTAAAGCTGTATTTTGTAGCCCTCAGGCTGATCTTACTGCTTTTTCCCCAATTGACTCGACTTGGAAAGGTCATCTCAGCCTGCTAGACTGTATAATATTTAACTTAGCATCAAAAATGAGGATCTCGGGATTGGTGTCAGATGGATGCTATTCCCCTCTGAATAGCACAGCCCATTCATAGTCATCCAAATATTCCACTTGCTAATGCTAATGAATAACTTTGTGGCCTTCTGCAGAGGGCAGGACTAACCACGAGAAGGTGGGATGAGAGTGGCACAAAGCAGGTATTGAGAGGTGCAATCCACACCGTCTAAATCCAACTCATGGCTTTAATACCTATTTATAGATTTTATTTTTTTTTTTAAGTTATAACTTCTAGCTCTTCATGATGCCTTAGCATAGCAAGCAGTCTTTTCTGATGCCAAGTTCAGTGATGACTAACAGTGTTTACAGGACTGTTTTGTAATCTCAGATCAGCCCACATTAACGGGAAGTTACGTTTTCCCATCAGTCTTTCAAACGGTGCCTGAGAGTTGCTGAGGCCAGAGCCAGCCATCCAGGCTCTCCCGTTTGGAAAAAATGATGTCAGCTTTCAGAACAAGCTTTTTAAAAAAATCTAATAAAGTTAGGGAGGTCATTTGAAATTGAACTTCCTCCATTTGAAATTTTTTTCTTCTTTTTTTTTTTATGAGGATCTTTCATTCCTCTGTTCTAAAAACTACCAACAAAACTAAGCACAGGAGGTATTGCATAAGCACCACCAAGCCATTTGCCTGATCTGCATTTCTCAGTGCATGAGATCAGCTCCAAATATCTGATCTGAGAAAGCTGCTGGTGCACAACTGCTGTAACTGATAGGAATTACCTCTGTGAGTCATCTCATAGGATGGTAAGTCCTTTTTTTTTAAAGTTCAAGTTTTTATGAGTGTTTTTATAAAGCTCAGTTGCTGTTACTGTAAATCTCAGGGAAATCTGGCACAGTGTCTTTGTAATATGAATCAGTGCGTCCATATGCTTCCAAGTGACCTTGCAGTCTGGAAAAATACCATTTTATCCCTCTGAAGAGAAAAAAAAAAGCAGAGTTGCTGTAGAAGAGGTTGACAGAGGGATGTCACCAAGCAGATGACTCCTGGTGCCAGCTACAGCAGCTTTACTGCCCTGGGGTCATGATCTCAGGCACAGAGCATTTGCTGTGCAAGTGGGAAAGCTCCATCAGGCCAGGAATAAGGTTGTAGCTAATGCCTCAGCCAGCCCTGGCCTCCTACAGGCTGGAGCACTTCAGGGTCTGCTTTAGTTTCAGAGGAGGGGAAAAAAGAAAAGAAAAAGTTATTGTCAGTTATTTGGTTGGGTTTTGCTTATCTTTGTTTGGTTTTGGTTTTAAATGTAACAAATTTCTGGTTAGCCCAAGCCCAGCGAGATGGGCTTGCACTGACGAGAAATGACACTTTGTTAGGGAATATCCCAGTGCATGGGGTGGTGTGACTGCCAAAAGCTGCAGAGGTGGTGGGAGGGCAAGGCTGGGAGCCAGGAACATTGTGATGCTGCTTTTGAGCTTTGGGGCCTTTACCTTGTCTTGTGGCTCCAGATGAGGACTCACACATGCTGTTGGAACAGTAATGAAGTGTACACAGGAAGGGCATCTCCCAAATGCTTTGCAGGCTTGCTGAGCAAGAGGAGATAAAATACTGCAGCCTCCTCGCTCACAGCAGCAGCTCTGAGTATCTGCAGAGACTCTTGGCATGGGCACAGTGCTCTCAGCTGCCAAGAAACTTCCCCATGGGATGGATGGAAAATGCTGATTTTTAAGAAATTGAAATGTTCTGTGGGGAATATGTGGATTTTTCATCTTTTTTTGTGATGGAAAGCAGGTGGCTTTCCCAGGTCAGCCTGCCTGGTGTCACCTCCTGTGTGAGGCTGAGCACACAAGGAGCCTAGGCACTGCTTTCCCTGCTGAAACACCAAGGGTGGGACTTAACGGGGCAGAATGAGGGGAAAATTCAGTGGTTTTCCTCCTTAAATGAGAATTTGATGTGGGCTGTAAAAGTGGCACGGTTGTGTGTTTGGTTTGAAACGGTTCACAGGATTAGGTGTGAAAATACAGTAAATCAAGGTCAAGTTAGATTTTTCCAATGAAAGAAGAAAAATTATTTCTTGAGTGAAGCAGTTAAATACTAGAGCAGTTGTGCTTTGTCTAATTCCAAGGGAACTAACCCCTCCTTCCTCTCCTTATCCTCAGGTCCAGTGGCAAATATGAACCTTTGTCAGCAACTCCTCGGGACATCATGAGTTTGCTGGAATCTGGACCACAAAGCACTTGCAATAGCGCTTTCTAAATTTGAGTTTGATTTAAATGAAAGAAGAATAATCCTCTGGATCAATTGTAGCGATGGCTAGCAAAAGGAAATCCACAACACCTTGCATGATACCAGTAAAAACACTGGTGCTTCAGGAGACTGAACAGGATGCTGGAGAAGATGACCGTGAAGGAACACAACCAGAGGCTTCTGCAGAAGGACCAGCATCGAGCGATGCTGGGGCCAGCAGCGCTAATAATGGAGCTTTGTCCAACGGGCACCGCGGCATCGCCGATGGTGACACTTTCATCTGCAAGCCTTGTGACTTCGGGTCTCAAGACCTTCACCAGTTCTTTGGGCACTTGGACTCTGAGCACTCAGACTTCAGCAAAGAGCCCGCATTCGCCTGTGCCGGGTGCAGCTTCCTGGCCAACAGCCACGAAGGGCTCTCGCACCACAACGCCGAGGCGCACGCCGGCGAGACCAGCTTTGTCTGGAGGCTGGTGAAGCAGGATGGTCGTACAACCGTGGAGCAAAGTCTCTGTGAGGCCACCAGCAGCCATGACCTGCCAGGAGAGGTCCCTGAGGAAGGGGCAGATGGCCAGTCTGAAATTATCATCACCAAAACCCCTATCATGAAGATAATGAAGGGTAAACCCGAGGCCAAAAAAATCCACACGCTGAAGGAGAATGTGTCCAGTCAGTTGGGCAGTGAGGCAGAGGTGAAGGATGGTGAGCATTCATTCCCAAATGGGTCCGTGCCAGTCAGCCAGGCAAGTTCAACAAAGTCATCCCACATAGTGAATGGCTCCATCATAGGAAACGTGCCTGTTCTGCAGGCGGGTGTTGCACAGCTTGTGTCGCTGCAGCAGCAGCCCCCCTTGCATCAGCAGCTCCCTACATCCAAATCCCTTCCCAAGGTGATGATCCCACTGAGCAGCATTCCCACATACAATGCTGCCATGGACTCCAACAGCTTCCTGAAAAACTCTTTCAACAAGTTCCCCTACCCCACCAAAGCTGAGCTCTGCTACTTGACCGTAGTGACCAAGTACCCAGAAGAGCAGCTGAAGATCTGGTTCACTGCCCAGAGGCTGAAGCAGGGCATCAGCTGGTCACCAGAGGAGATCGAAGATGCCAGGAAGAAGATGTTCAACACTGTTATTCAGTCTGTGCCACAACCCACCATTACAGTGTTGAACACGCCCTTGGTTGCAAATCCTGGGACTGTTCCCCATCTTATCCAGGCAACTCTCCCAGGCCACGTGGTGGGGCAGCCAGAGGGGACAGGGGGGCTGCTGGTCACGCAGCCCATCATGGCAAATGGGTTGAAGGGCACCAGCTCCTCCTTCACCTTGGCAGTGACTTCTGTCCCCAAGCCACAGCCAGCAGGGCAGCACAGCACTGTGAGCTCCAGCAACACATCCGGGGTCAAGGTGGTCAACAGCGGCCAGTCCCTGCTCACCGCCTGCCCTGCCATCTCCTCGCAGACCTTCCTGGATCCCAATGTCTATAAAAACAAGAAATCCCACGAGCAGCTCTCAGCCCTCAAAGGCAGCTTCTGCAGAAACCAGTTCCCTGGCCAGGCTGAAGTCGAGCGGCTGACAAAGATCACGGGCTTGTCCACCAAGGAGATCCGAAAATGGTTCAGCGACAGGAGGTACCACTACAGGAACGTGAGAGGTGGCCGGGCCGTGTTCCCTGGAGACAGTGCTCTTGATTCCCTGCCCGAAATCACCTTCGACGTCCCACCCAGAGGAGCTGAGCTGAGCCCTGCAGCGGCAGCGGCCACGCCGGCCCCTCACCACCCAGCACGGCGGCAGTCCTGGCACCAGGCACCCGACTTCACCCCGACCAAGTACAAGGAGCGAGCGCCGGAGCAGCTGAAGGCCCTGGAGAGCAGTTTTGCCCAAAATCCCCTTCCTGCGGAGGAAGAGGTGAACCGCCTGCGGGGGGAAACGAAGATGACACGGAGGGAGATCGACAGCTGGTTCTCGGAGAGGAGGAAGAAGAAGGTGGCGGAGGAGAATAAGAAAGTGGAGGAGGTGGCTCAACAGGAGGAGGAGGAGGCAGAGAATGGCGGCGGGGAAGGGGAAGACTCCTCAGATGAGCAGAGGGCCACGAGTGAAAACGGCTCAGTCGACGCCTCCGGCATCAACCCCAACTCGGCGGAGCGGAAGGTGAGTCCCATCAAAATCAACCTGAAAAACCTGCGAGTGACCGAGTCCAACGGCAAAAACGAGGTACCGGGGACCGGCGCAAATGAAAAGGGGGACGGCAGCTCCAGCCGGCCGCCCACCCCTCCCAAAACCAAAATGAACTTCAAAAAAACGGCCCAGCAGCGGCATCTGCTGAAGCAAATGTTCGTGCAGACCCAGCGCCCCACGAACCAGGAGTATGACGCCATCGTGTCCCAGACGGGCCTGCCGCGGGCCGAGGTCATTCGCTGGTTCGGGGACAGCCGCTATGGCTACAAGAACGGGCAGCTGAAGTGGTATGAGAACTACCGGCGGGGGGTCTTCCCCCCGGGGCTGGTGGAGGTCGGCCCCGCCGGCCGGGAGGTGCTCGAGGACTACTACGAGAAGCACAAGGGGCTGCGGGAGGAGGACGTGCCCGGCCTCTGCGAGCGCGCCCGCCTCGGCGCCCAGCAGCTCAAGGTGTGGTTTGCGGTGAAGGCGGAGGAGGAGGGCAGGGGCTCCGGCCCCGAGGGAGCCGGCAGCCGGAAAGGGTCGAGCGAAGCCGGCGCGGAGGCGTCGGAGAGCAGCGAGGCGTGGGAGCCGGGCGGCCAGGAGGGCAGCGCCGGGAGCCCCGACGCCCCCGGGCCACCGCCCGCCACAGGGCTGGGTAAGGCCCGAGCCTCGGCGGGGGAGGGCTTGGGGTGGCACCGGGCACTGGGCCTCTCCTGCTTCGGAGGCAGGTTCAGCCGAGGGGTTACGTTTGAGGTTTAACTGAGGAAGTGGTGAGGAGATGTCTCTGTGAAAGGCATGAAGGAAAGGAGGGTGAGGAGGGTCTGGCAGGATGACACGAGTGCCACTGCCTGCCCGCCCTTTCCTGCCTTGGTCATTGGGTGCTGGCACCACTCAGAAGCAAAATCCTGGCGTTACTTCAAGCTGAAGTAAAACTTTAGGAGTGTCTGATAATTTTACCTGCCCTGTGGGAAGATGGCACGTGGATTTATTTATTTATTTGGTAAGAAAGGGGCCTGGCTGCTTGTCCTGTGCCACCGGTTCCTTCCATGTCCCTGCCTGACCTCCAGCAGCTGACACACCGCTGCCTACCTTTCTCTCTCCTGCTCCCTGCTTTCCAGATGTGAACATCCTTGTTTGGCGTGGAGAAAGGTTCAGGTGGTGAAGGTGGAGGCTGCAAAGGCAGGAGGGGACATGGAGTCTCCAGAACTCACTTTTGGAAGGCGTGTGTCTGTGTGTGTGTGTAATGGAGAGGTGTTTTCCAAGCCCTTTGAGGGCTTTTCTGCAGTGCAGCTCTGGCTGTTTCCTGCCTGGTAGGGTTCCCACCAGATGGGGATGGCCAAGTGCTGGTCCTGTCCTGTGGTGTCCACGCATGCAGCTCCTTGCTGGTCAGCTGGGATCTTCTCCCGTCCCACTGCCTTGTTTTGGAGCTTTCCACACACCTCTGCCATGGCTGCAGGCCTTAAAAAATAATTATAAAAATCGAGTAAAATTCATTGCTTCTCTTCCCATCTAATTTGGAGAAGATGGAGCATCGGTTTGGGTGGGTCTTGCCTTTGCTGTATATCCTGTGTGCTTTGCAGAGGAATGGTGGGTTTGGGGACTGGTGGAGGGCCAGCTTTTGTGCTGGGCAGCTGGCTGTGCCCCTGCTAGTGCCCTCTGAGCATGGCTTTCTGCCAGCCAGAGCGAGGGGTCCTGTCAACCCTCGTGGCACAGAGGCAGGAGGTGCTTAGCAAAGGTGCATCCCTCCATAGGGGTGCAAAGCCAACTCCACTCCCTCAAGGATTTTGGGTTTCCCAGCCCCTCTGAATGTTGCTAGCCCTTCTTTGCAGCTGATTCTATCAAGGCTCCTGATATTGCCAATCCTGAGGCACTCCTGCATCCCCTCCTCCCCACCCAGCACCCCACCTGGAGCAAGGCCAGGAGCATCTCTGACACCTCTGTTCTTTTTCAGAAACAGACTGAACTCAAACCACCAGCCCCAGAGGATCCGCTCTTACCCTTGAGAAGAAATCTGTGATATTTAAGAAACCCATGGACCGGCCTGATCCAAGCCTGAGGAGCAGGACGTGGTGATGAAGCACTGCCATCCATGAGACCTTTGAGCACAGCACACGAGACAGCACGTGCACAAACTGGGCACTCGGTGCTGAGCTGTTGGTGGCCCAGCTGAGGAGAAGGCTGGGAGCTGACTGAGGCAGGGCTCAGCTCACACCCAGGAAATAGGATGCTCCTGTTTGCTTTCCAGTGACAGACTTTCAGATTTCATATTCATATACCGATGCCTACAGCTGCCTATACAAGCATAACAAATCTCAGACATTGTGTAAACAAGGTCATTGCTTAGATATGGACTATCATGGCATAGTACTTGTTTCTTTTCTCTTTTTTTTTTTTTTTCATCTGTCCATTAAGGTGTTTGTTCTCTAAAGGTTGTCATGACTGCATATATCCTCTCTGCCTTTTCTGGTCCATAAGCCCTGGGAGTGAAGGGCTTTGTGGGCACACAAGTGTGAGTGTATTATGAAAGGGAAGGGATTTGAGAAGAAAACTGCCAGTCTTGAATTTGAGTGAGATTCTCATCCCTCCAGATGAGGTTAGAGTGAGCATTGCATACTCTCTGATAAGCAGCAGGTTCCCAGACCTGGGCAGCCCAGGAGATGGAGTTTGTTGTAATTTGTCCCTTGCTGGCTAGAACACTTTCCCCTGTTCTCTTGGAGACTGACTGTAACAGGCTGTTAAATCTCCAAGTCTCTCTTTAATCTCTGAGAACTAGCACATAATAATTTTTGCATCCTGACCTGGAATTCTTTTCATTGTTTGGAGAGAACAGTGTGTTCTTCAGAGAACAAATGCAGAGTCAGTGTGGCTGTGAGTGGTTCAAGTCATTGTTGTCTCTAAGGCAGTGGCTCTGCTGCCATTGGGAAGTTTCCTTCTTGCAGTCCTACATGGCAGATCCTCCTGCAGCACCACTGGTGATTTCAAGTGTTTGTTCCAGTTCTTTTTGGTTTTCTTTTCTTTTTTTCCCCCTTTTTTTCCCCCCAGGCCATGTGCAATAGTTCTGGCAAAAGAGCAAAATAAATTTCCCAGTTATCCTGCCTGCTGCCTGGTACCTGTACATTTTTAATGTGTGTTGTCTTGGGTGGTTGCTGTGTGATGCAACTGCTTGAACATTTTTGCTTTAAATATTATTTTCTAGTAGAAAACAAAGTCTAGAAGTCAAAAAACTCTTGAGCTGAATAGTCCAGCCAAATGTTGTGTCAGATCATTCTGTCACAAACTAATCAAATCCCAACTCCAAATTGGTTCCATGTTTTGCCTTCACTTTTGCTCTTGGAAGGCTATTCCAGAAATTGACTGCCTTTGAGTCGTTAGAAACTGTATTTAAATTTCTAGTTTGAATTAATTCATGGCTGGTTCATTCCTGGTTTGTTTTGGAGCCAACATTGTCTTTTAACTTAAATAGTTTTTGGTGTTTATCTGCTGATGTATTTATGGAGAGTAGTCATAGCTCCTTATTTTTTGCCAAGCCAACTCAGCCAAGATTTTTCAGTAGAAGGTTTTTATTTAGTGAGAGCTTTTTCATGTGGGAGACTTTATTGTTGGTGGTAAATGATATTTATTAGGAGGGTGGGTAGCAAACCCCAAAGGATCGGCTCCAGAGATTTGCAAAAAATCTGGTTTAAAAACAAAAAAGCTCTTTCAGAACCTCTTCCAAACATGGTGTCTGATTTCTACCTTTAATTGCCCTTGCTTGTGCAATTCTTTCTTCGTTCCTTTTCAAGAGGCCGTGTTGCCCAGCTGCTGGAAGGGACTGTGGCTGCTCAGTGCTTTGGCAGAGGCTTCCCCTCGCCTGGTGGGATGTGCTGGGTGCTTGTGCCTGAGCCTACAAGGCTTGCCTGGCACATGTTGTGAGATTGTGGCCAAGTGTGACCATCTGCTCTGCTCTGAGGTGACCTGTACCCCACGTGGATGTGGCCACTCGCTCTGTGCATCCCATAGCCAGACTGACCATCCCACCATGTTGTGAGCAGGGGTGGCACTGACCTGGAGCAGCCTGTGTGGCACCAGGCTCCCTAGATTTGCCTTTGGAAGCACTGCTGATGGTCGTGACACAGTTGGAGGCATGACCAGCAGCCACCCCACCTTGGCTAGTGATGGCTCAGCTGGTGGCATCCCCATGGCTCTCTTTGGGGACCAGGGACAGCTGCCGTGTGGTGACAGCCCCAGGGGTTCACCCTCATGGGTGCAATCCTGTGCACCCCAAAATATCAGAGAGGGTGAGAGAATCTGAGTGGTTCTAGAGCTGAAAGCAGATCTGGGAGTCGTGCAGCCTGAGAATATGGATGTATGTACAGTGTCACCTTCAGAGAACAAATACAGGTAGGTCAATTTACTCTGTAGTGTCTATGTACATGCAGGTTTATTTAACTACACATATATACAGTTCAAATATGCCATTGATCCTTTATTGCATTAAGATGTACATTAAAAATGTACACTTTTACTAACTACTTGCTATATAAATATGTTGGAAGTGTAGTTTGCCCGTTCAAGGTGATTTTCTGTGGGATTTTTGGTGTACACTTAAGGGCCTATGGCTGATTGGAAGAGTGATCCCCGCTCCATCTACAGGAAAGTTTAAGGACTGTGATATGAACTGGTCCCTTCAAACCATGTTTTAATGCACTAGCTGAAATATTTTGCACTTGGATTGTATTCAGCCGGTTTTCCAGAAAAATTGAAGTCTTGTGAGCTAGAGGGAGAATTTCCCGGTGTACACAGAAAAAGCAGCCTTGAGGGTTGGAAGCTGTTGAGGTTTTTGAGCTTTGTCTCCATGCATTCATACAAGCACAGCAGGAGTTTTCTTTCTTTTGGGTCAGAGGAATTTTCAAAAGTGGTTCCATGCAGACTCCCCTCGGATATGGCGACGGGGCTGGCAAACGCCTTTGCTTGGGGAGGGTAAGATTTAGAGACAAAAAAGAAAACAAAAAATGATCGAGTTCCCTTTCTAACTCCTACATTCCTTGTTATCTGCATTTTTTAGTTAACTTGAAGTCATAAAAGTATAAGCTGAAGATTTTTGAGGGTTTAGCTCTGTGGTCTTCTGTTTCTCTGCTGAGGAGGAGAAACAGGTGCCATCTCCAAACAGACTTGGGTTTTGGTGCAGGACATTGGAAAAGTGTTTGCATCTGAAACTGCAAAGAAAAATTGAGAGGTGGCTTGACAGTCCCAACAGCAGCTCTTGTGGTGTTAAGAGGAAGTGTCACCACAATTCTTCACAGTGTGTGAATATTTATCATCATCTAATCAAAGATGACTATCTTGACTTGAAAGGGGTGTAAGATCGAGGTGATGTCGCCAGCATCAGTAAGGAAGGGAAATTAAATTCTCCACCTCCATCCTCTGTGCCTGAGCTTGGGCCTGGCAGGCACAGCAGAAACCATCAATTTTAATCCCTGTGAATCTTGTTACTTATGTCTCCGAGGCTGCTTAGATTAAGGGCACAATCCAATTGCTTAATAACCCGAAACCCTGATTTGTTCTGGCCCTGGCTTGCTCATGGAAAGGGCTGCTGGTTCTCCTGATGTAAGGAACTGAGTTTCTTTATTCATTGATGTCAGCAGCCCCTTCCATGAGATTTCTAGACATTGTTCCATGTTTCATTTGGGTACCTTATTTTTCAGCTCTGTAATTAGCATCCTTGAATTTTGTTTGGTTGGTTGGTTTTTGTTTGGGTTTTTTTAGCAGAACACTAAACAAACCATGATCTACAGCCTCCTATCTCCACTTGCCTGTGAGTGATGCTGCACATCAGGTCTGCAGCTTGGTGGGAGGATGGGCACAGGTGCTTGCAGGTACTTCGTGTGATTTAATGTCCCCTCCCTGAGTTGGTCAGCGGGAGAAGCCACCAGCAAAAAGCAGTAGCTGCTGGCAGAGAAACACTGGATTCCTTAACCTGGTTGGAGGATGCTCACACAGGAGCTGGAAGATACCTGCTGAGTTAATTGAACCCTGACAGTTCAAGAGAAGGAAGCTGTAGTAGGCTGGTTTTTCATTTAGGGTTTTGGGCATTTTTTTTTTTTTTTTAAATTGGAAAGCAACAGATTTTGGTCACCTGCAGAAGTGTTGTATTTTTTTCCCTGCAGCCTCTCTCTTACAGATAAAACAGAGGCAACCTGATCAGAAGCTGGCTCATTTGGAATCAGAAGAAAAAGATGATTTTCAGCACTTGGGCAAAAATGATAAAGTGAATGTGATGCTGCACATTCCCATCAGGGTGACAGTATTTAAAAATGCTTGTAAAATGCTCTTCCCCCTGTTGCCCAGATCATTTTGGCTCTGTTCTTTTCAAATCATTCAAGGTATTGATGTGATTCAGCTTACCAGTAAACCTCTGGTGTCACTTCTCAGCTGATCCCAAAACCAGCAGGGTATGATTAGGCAACACAACACATGGAGGGGAAAGAGGCACTTGCAGGCTATCCCTGTTCTTTTTTTTATTGGGAAATTCAGTTTCTGCTGTATGTTTTACTGGCAGCGGTGTGCACCAGGAATGTTGGATTGGCATCACAAAACTTTAAAGCAGAGCAAGGGAGCTCTGTTATGTAAGCAGTGAATTTTAATTTTTTTTTTTTTTGTTATGGCCCAAGTGCTCTGTTGGCTGACGTTTGGCATATTCTGATGGCACAATTAAAACTCCTTTTTCCCTGTACTGATGGAAGATGGTGTTAGGATTCTTGCTTACTGGTGCTAGTGAAGGTTGGGCTAGGAATCCATGGCATAGAAAATTTTCTAGCTAAAATTGCACTTTCTGCCCCATCTGGCTCGTGGTGGTGTTATGGGTACGTGGCTGTGATTCCCCTTGCACATACTAACATTGCACTAAAAGAGAGACTTTGGGAACAGTGTGTTGATCACTTTGTTTCTCAGCAGACCACAAAGTCAGCCTAATGGGGTCTCTTTTTTTTTTTTTTTTTTTTTTAATTATTGTTATTTAGAAATCATGCTGGTGCTGAATGACCTGGAATTTTTGCTTGGATTTATCCAAAGGAAAATGTAATTGTAGCTGCAACGGGACCTTTCATAAGGGTGGCCGGTGCAGTGAGGGAGCAGGGTGAGAGCTCTGCTGGGTAAAGCTGTCTTTGTACCGGGGAGCTGTGGGGGGTTCCAGGGGGGTTGTTACTTTTTTTTTTTTTTTCCAAGACCACAATTTTAAATGGTCACCTTGGCAATCGTGTGAAACAGGAAATAGTTTTTACTTTTGGTAAAGGTTTTAAAGAGGAAACAAAAAAAGAAGCTGCCTGTGATTGTGGGCTGTAGCTATTATTAGGGCTAGGGTAGCTTGTATGTGCTATGGACTTTACCTGCTCTTATTCTGAGGGCAAGAACTCCCTGTAGCAACAATGCCACTTCTGAGAAGTGAACGGCAAGTTTCCCTTCCTTTTGTATATGTGGATGTGAGGGTGGGCGAGGGGAAGAGCTTGCTTGTACAGTTTGTTGAAATGAAACCAGACATTTTTGGTTGTTCCTAAATAAAGAGCGTAAAAGACAAATGTGAGTTGACTGATGCTTGCACGGGGGTTTGGGAGGGCCCGGGAATGGCTGTGCCTGCCTTCCAGCTGCTGGGCAGGGAGTGCTCCATCACAACCTCCTCGTTTATTTTACAAGAACTCCTTTTCCATCGGGTAAGGCCATGAGTGAGTGCCCCAGCAGCATTCTGAACCCAGACACCTCCACCCTAGGGGTGCTTCTTCATCCCAGAGTTCTGGCCCCAGGCTGCCTCAGAACAGCACAGGCAGCTGGAACACAACTTTGCTTTACCCTTTTGAGTGAACAGCATAAAACCTGAGGCTGTTCCTGGTTATTTTCCTCCCCTAAAGCTAGGAGGAAAGAGGGAGCAATGCAACCTCCCCTCAGCTCTGCCCTGGTCTGCAGGGCACAGATCACCAGACACTTGAGCCAGCACACACATAATACTGACACTTTTATTGTCGTTTAAAGCTAGAGCGGCCCTGTAAATGTAGAGTTTCACTACTGGACCCTTCGGCAGTGGCTATACAGGTCAGATGTGTCACCAGGACAGACAGAGGTGCTGCTGTGGTCACTGCAGTCACGCCTGGCCCAGAGCTCTGGGCACGGACACAGCACAGGATGGCTGCAAACAGGCTCCAGCAGCTGCACACCATCTCTGGAGTACAGGCAGAGCAGTGATGCAGAGGCTGGATGGGGATTTTTAAATCTCTTCTTGTGCTCACAGTTCGGTCTCACCTCTGGCAGCCTGTCTGCACCGACGCGCTTCTTAAGGGCTTCATGGTGAAGGTTGGTGGGTGCTTGGGGTTGGTTAGGGGTGGGGTTTATTTCCAGTATTTTTTTTTTTTTTTTTTTTTTTTTTTTAACAACATGTAATTTTGCTGTTGGAGAAACTGGAAAAGCTGCCTGAAAGTAGGCCATAGCAGTGCCGTTTCCATAGAAACCAGTTCACAGCGTGCTGTGAGATTCACAAGCACTGGAGGTGCTTTGCCCGCCGCCAGGGGCTACAGCCCGGGATGGGCTACAGCCCCGATGGGCTACAGCCCCGATGGGCTACAGCCGGTTGTCCCCGTTGACCCGGGTCCTCCGCAGTACCCTGCAAGGGGACACAGAGAGAGAACATGGCTCAGCCTCACCGTGGGATGACCAAGGACAAAGCTCTGGTGGTCTCAAGGAGGAAAGTGGGGGCTCAGCCACATCCCCCAAGAGTGGGGATGCTGCCACCAGCTGTGATGTCCCACCCTACTGCCACAGCAGCGACCCCCACAAGCACTGGCACAACTTGCAGCTCAAATTTAGGATTTCCACACAGTAAACAAGGATGCAGCTCCACTTTGGGTTAGGGGAGGCTGTATTCATCTCCCCCCAGCCAGACTAAATGCAGGGGGGGCCCTTGTTGAATGAGCAGTGGCCTCACCTTCGCTCCCGGCTCTCAAAGTGGTCAGCGAGCTGCTCTGGGGACACACGGAAATCCTCGAAAGGCTGCTGGTACCGCAGCTCAAAGGATCCCTCTCTGCCTCTGCTTGCCAGCAGCTGGCTGGAGCCATCCCCTGCTCGTTCCCGTAGGGATGAAGCATTGAAGAGGTTTATCTCGCCATTTTCCTGCTTGGATGAGGAAAAAAATGCTGTAGTCACAGGCTTGTGATTTCAAAGTGTACATCCTGTAGTAAAGGCAGTCGTGGTGCAGGGCCCTGCCTGCCCTGCAGAGTGTCCAGGTCTCATGGGGGGCTTGGGGTTTGCAATGTGCAGCTGCTCTAACAGCAATCGTTGGCTCCCACCAGCACTATTTTTAATGAAGAAATAAAAGAACCATCTGTCTCAGAAGGAGCCTGCCCTCCGTTTATGCCAACAGGGACAGCCCCAGGTCAGTCAGCTCCATGATCCTGAGCTGCAATGTCCCTGGAGCACAGACAGGCACTGTGACAAATCTGCCTCCTCCAGCTTTTGCTGAAGGGATTTCCAGGCAAGTGAAACAGTGCAGGCAGGACCCTGCCTGCAACACCCTGACTGCTGCAGGAGGCAGAACCAGTCCTTGCTTCCCTGCTGGACATCACTATGGAGCAGCACTGGGAATTTACCCATCCACAGGCACTCAGGCCAGGCACCACTGAGCCTCACTGCCCCAGCTGCAGCAAGAGAGTGGGCAGGACCAGGCTCTGCTCCTCAGCCCTGCAGCACTGTCACCTTCTTGTGTGTGAGAGAGTCTCACCTTGCAAGGGAAAATATCTATCTTGACAAGCAGAGAAGCCAGCTCCAGGTTCTCACTGTAGTTGTTCTTCAGGGGAACAGCTCGGAGACCTACGGCAGAGACAGCCCTGGTGTCACTCACTGCACAGGAGGTGAGGTGTCAGTGCCCTGGCACACAACTCAAAGGGGTCCTTGTCCCACAAGACCCTTTTACTCTTCTGCCAAGAGAAGCTGCCCCTGGCAGTGTCCAAGGTCAGGTTGGATGGGGCTTGGAACAACCTGGGATAGTGGAAAGTGTCCCTGCCCATGCTAGTGGGGCTGAAACAAGATGGCCTTTAGTATCCCTTCTAATCCAAATCAGTCTATGATTCTGTGACTCTCCAAACCCCCAAATTTCCCTCAAAGAGGCAGGTGGCCCCAAGGGCTGTTAGCAAATGGCTCTGCCTTCCTTTAACTGGTTGGGGACGTGACCTGTCACAGGGACAGGAGGGCCAGCCTGGGGCCCAACACCACCCTGCCATGAAACTCAGCATCTCCCTGGCTAACAGTGTGAACTGGTGAGGACCACCATGACTCCCCTCCTCCCTGCTGTCCCAAGTGCTTCACCTGTCTTCAAGCCTTTCACCAGGAAGGTGGCCTGAGCCAGGAAGTTCTCATCGCTGAACATGTCCTCCTCATACACCACGAAGCGGAGGAAGGCAAAGTCAGGGTTGCTGACCTGAAAGTGGAACTGCTTCGGGGTCCAGAGAGGGTTCAGGCCGTTGTCAGCTGCTCAGAAAACACAGCTGTCAGTGGGCAGCCCCACTGAGCCTTCCCACTGCCCCCATGGCTGATGCTGGGCTCAGAGGCAGCATGAGGGCAGCTCCCAGCTCAGTGCCAGGCTTTGCTGCAGAGCCCACGGCTCACACCAGGATCAGGAGTGCTGCTACATCCCTCTCCCTTCCCTTCCCTTCCCTTCCCTTCCCTTCCCTTCCCTTCCCTTCCCCACTCACCCACAATCTCTGTTTTCTGCTTGGCGTTGTCGTACTCAGCACCAGACACCTCCACCTCCACGAAGGGACAAACGATTCCCCTTCCATTTTTGGGAAGGTGCCGGGCCCCCAGGACCTGAGCAGAGAGCAGGAGAGACTTGGTAAGAGACAGGAACAAAGGGGAAAAATGTGTTTGCATACCAAGACATTTTCTTCCCAATTAAGTCACCCTGGCCCTGCCAATTGGAGAGAGAAGCAGCACTGATAGCCAGCCCGGCCCAGCATCTCGGAGAGAAATAGCTCCCACCCCTGGAAGCTGCTGATCCCCAGTTTGACTTGTAAGCCATAAAAAAAGCAGGTGAACTGCTCTAGGTTCCTGTCTGCTGCCAGCAAAGCCAGTCCTGGGCCACAGCATCCGTCCCCCAGCTAGCCAAGCTGGAGCTGGGCTCCCAGCCAAGTGCTATTCCCTGCTGGGAGCACTGGACCCCCTCATCCTTGGTGAAATTTCTCAGCCTTCCTGCCTTGGTGTAAGGTCGAAAAGGAGCTGCTCTCCACTGCTCTCCACTACTGCTCTGCCTCGTGTCTGCAGCACAGCCTGTGCTCCACACAAATGACAACCTGCTCCTCGCAGGAGAAAGCAATCACAGCTCCCCCTTGCCCGTGGCCATATGTCGCTCCAGTGTGCTGTCAGCACGCTGCTGCTGCAGGGGAAGGACCTGCTGCCAGCACTGCATCATGTGCTTTGAGTCATGCTGGGCTCGAGATGGCTTCTCCATCCATGAAAGCTGCCTTTGGTGGGGACAGCAGGCAGTTTTGCCAGAGAACGAGAGGCTGAGCCTGTCTCTTAAAGGCGACAGTGACTCTTGACACTTGGTGGTGGCAGCCACATCCTGAGGTGTAGGAAGAGCTTGGAAAACAGATGAGACAGGAAATTTTTAAGGAGACGGTGGGCAAGGGGTCAGTGGTGCAGAGGGTACATGATGGGGTGTCCTCATGGAGAAGGGCTGTGGCTTTTTTAGGTGGGATCACTCCAAAATAGAGGTGGCTGCAAAGGGAACCTGTGAGCACCTAAGGGCAGGATCTCCACTGCATCCTCCCCAAGGTCTACACGAGCTGAGGGGACTGGCAAAGGAGAGTGTTGACCCATAGCTTGGTTCTGAGACCACAGGGAATGCCTGTACAGCCTATTGGACCCCGCTGGTCCAAACATGAGAGCCAGCTGGTTTGGCACAGCCTGCCAAGAGCTTTGCCTGGTGAGCTGTCCCATGTCCCTGCACAGCCTCTGCTGTGCAGCTCTGAGAGCTGACACAGGAACAATCCAGCCTCAGTTCCACCATTAGGGAAGTAAAAAAAAAAAAAAACTCATCAAGCATCCACAGCCCATCCTCTGGCCCCTCTCCTCTTACCATCACCACCAGCACAACACAGAAATGGCCTGAAAAATTTGCCCTGACCTCGAGCATCTTCCCAAGAGGGGCCATGAGCAACTGGGGGAAATGGAAACATTGAGCCTGGAGCAACTGAGTGACAAGGAAGGGACAAGGCATAGCTCTTGTGTTGTTAGCCTGTGGATTTGGTCCTGGCCAGGCTCTGGGGACAGGGATGCCACCTGTGCGGCTCGTGGATGCCACCTGCTGGCACTGGGACCTGGACAGGAGGAGTGCTGGGGGGAGCACCCAGGGATGCTCCTGCTGCTCCTCTCCAGGCACCTGTGAGTGCCCCTCTTCAACAGGGGCTCTCCCAGCCTGTGCTGCAGGACTGGGGCTGAGGGCATTTGGCGAGGAGCAGCTGCAGCCAGAGCCAGGAGCCCAGAAAAACCATTCTCTCACCCCAAATCTGGTATAACCACCGGGGTCTGGCCCTGC